ACTAAGACTTTATCTAGTTTACCGGAAATTGAATAAAAGTTTTACTCACAAATATTGATTTTGTAATTTTGGCATAAACAATAGCCTATTTGTGTTCAATCAATTATAAAATAAGAGACCATATACGCGGTTTGTGGTAGCTTTGATATTGTAAATTAAATTTTTCTAGGAAAGAAATACTCATTACTTCAAAGTAATCACACTTAGATTTCACGATTTTGAAGCATATGAAGAAACGAAATCGATATTAATAAAATCTTTGGGTTTAATATTTATAACATAATTATTATAAAGTTTAATAATATAAAAACAAAAATATTTCAAGAAAACTATTTACATATTTTCAATTTATATAGTTTTTCTGCCAAAGTTGAATTTTATTTATAAATGTTATTGTAACTGGCATCGCCATTTTTTGCCGAGAAATATTCCTTAGGTATACTCATTCACCATTAATTTTACTATAATTACAAAGATATTTTGCAAGCCTTCTCAGTGAAGAGTAAAAACTCTGATAAAAATCCCAACTAACTTTAAATAATATAAATGTTAGCAGTTGGGTGGTTTCTTGAATCTATGAATTTAATAATAAAAAAAATTATTTATTCAAGTATACTTCACGAACCATTTGACAATATTTTTCCCAGTAGCAAATACCAAACTTAAGTAATGTTGGCACAAGTTTATTATCACAAATATAATGTTTTTTTCTTATTATTTATGCTGTAACTATGTTTATGTAAAGCTTAACTTTAATAACTATTACTGTATATAATTATCAATAATTATTAACATTATTAAATCTGATTGAATTCTTAGTTTTACTACCATACGCATAGTTTTTGATTTAAAAGAAGACAATATTATTGAAAGAAAAATAGTTTACTTTTATTTATTTACTGTCTTCAAAACAAATGCTTAAAATATCTCTTGTTTAACACATATACAGTATTTTTAATTTTAGTCGAGTTAAATCGTAATAAAAAGATTTAAATGCAGAAAATGCGTCCACGCTATAATATGTTAATCTTTTAATTTCCTGTATGGTCTTTGTTTGATGATAGTATTGCAAACATTTTAGTTTATTTTGTAAATTAATGAAAATCAAAGAATTAATTTTGTTTTACATTAATTAAAACACAAAAGGTAGGAAAAAAATTTATTTTTTATTTTTTATTCATTCAAAAAATCGTTTGTACTGTTAATTAAAATTTTAAAATAAATAATTTTATGATTTAAATTTAAATTTACTTATACGATTAGCTGAGAAGTGAAAACAGATCGAAATAAAATAAAGAACATATGTATTGAACATTCATTTCCTTAGTTTCAGCCTCATCTCTAGAACAGGATAATATTGATGTGCTTTTTATCCTTATTTGAAAGTAATGGTTCATTTTCATCGTCCCATTAAAATATTAATATGTGTATCACGAGTTAACCATTTTCGGAATTCATATAAAAATGAATAAATAGTAAATAAAGAGAAGGTAATTATTTTCAAAAATTATTTGGCCATAGTGATGAAATGATATCTAGGATAGTGGAATAAAACGGTGGAACACCCTGTATATCAAAATATTGATTGTTGAATGACAAATGAAATTATTGAAAATTAAAAATTAAAAATTGAAAAGTAAATTCTCTAAATCACCAACTAAATAAAATCTTAAATCTAAAAATTTTCTATTTGAACTTGCATTTTGAAATACTCATTTGTTTAGTCTGTCCTAAAGATTGGTAACAAATGGTCACCACGTGTAATATACAAAAAAACGAAGGTCCCTAGTACAGGGACTGTTATTGGTTAGTGGTCCCCCATAAAATGACATCAATGTAAAACCAATACATCCCCGATTCTTCACTTTATACATCACGTATTTAAACTAAAGCAAACCTGCATGATTTTTTTATCGTTAACTAGGGAATATCTTATCTTAGATTTGTAGGTATGATTTTATTTTAGGCACAAGGGTACTATTAAACATTTTTCATCATACAAATAACACAACCTTTAAAATAAAAATTATAATATTATTTAATGTATTAAAAAGTTTGTAAAACACATTCTCTAAGATAAATGACTACATATCGAATTGTTTATAGAAATTGTATTTCGTTTCTATGTTTCCAAATTGCGTGATACTTAATTTTAAATGCAATTATTATTTTAATTTTGTATTTATTTATGTTTAATTTTTTAATTTAGTATATAAATCTATATTGTAATATGTACATATATATTACATATTTTATATTAAATTAAGTATAACATATTTTACTTTTTAGTTTTTATACATCTTATTAATTTTTTTTAAATTTTATGAATAATTAACAAACTAAGTGTTTACATCAATTAGCCAAATAGTATAATATTTAAATGCCAACTTTAAGTAACGAGTATAATAGTATATATCCGAGTACTTATATATAATATTTATTAGGGTACTTATATTATAACCTATACTTCCCTACTCAAAAATTATTTTTACTGTTAAAAACACTTATCAAAGCTTAATTACTCACACTTCATTATTTTATCAACAATTAAGCTTTACACACTTATACTTCTTAATTTTTTGAACAAACTAAATTATTTTTAATCATATATTATGATGCAAATGAAGTTAGCTTCTGGTTTATTTGTCTCAAGTATTAAACAATGTTTAACCCTTATTTTCTGTCACCAAAGGTTAGATATTACACCGACAGTTTATTAATTTCAATCAAATGTCAATCAATCTGATTATGAAAGTTGAAACATACTAAGGGTTATAACAATGACTGTTATTTTATCAAAATTATTCTATTTACAAATGTTAAATATTTTGAAGATAAGTTACACACTACTAAGCTGCTTAATAAAGTAATTGAAAATGTATACTACTGTTTGAAGTATACTGCACAAATGTACTAAATATAATTGCAATATAGAAATTCCTAATATTTGTTTTTAACACATATAGCTTAAATTAAACAGAAATGTTGCACTGTAACATTATAGCTTTTATTAGTTCACTAACTTAACCTTTTTACAACAGTGAAAATATATTAGAATTAATTTTATTAATTGAATATTATTTAGTATTGACTATGGACGTAAGAACTATTTTTCTATACACCTAACATTTTTATCATCGAAAACGTGATTTACTAACTGTATGGTTTACGGAAAGCGATAGGATAGAACCCTAGAACCATTTGTTTTTCTTTATCTGTATACGATTTTACTCAGTTGGATTAAATCCAAACTTGATGAAAGTTTGTGCAAAGCTAACAAGACATACAGGAAAATATCTGAAATTGAAAAAAATCGATTTAGATCCTTTATTAACTTTCCCGCACCTAATGCTTATACAATTATTATCATGTAAGTATCTTTGAAAAATTAAAAATTATAAACATAATATGAACTATGAGGCATCAATGCATCTTTTGACGATTAATGTTTAAAATAGTTTCTTGAGCCGTATCGGCGTAAGTGCAATAATACGAGTAATAACCAAAAATAAAATAAAAAATTATAATTATTGTATGTATCAATAGTTATTGAACTATGATAAATATTATTTTTACTGTTTACATAAGCATAAACGCAGGGCCTAGTTTTTGTAATTTTTAGTATTACTCACATTTTAGTAGGTAGGTACCGCACACAAACACGTGGGTGGCTTCACCTTTTTTATTGAAATAAATAAGATTAGACATAATAATATGTTGTTTCAATATATATGTAGCATTGTTTAAAATTTTTCAAAAGTGTAATGAATATAATAAATTACATACACATAATTTATTGTTAAAATGTATTGAAAAATTAATGTCGTAACTATCGAAAACGTCATTGTTCATCAAAAATATTATTATTAGTTACCTATCAAAGAAAAATTAAAATTAAAAATCAGTAGTAATTTGTTATTGTATACACAATAATAATGATATAATTTCATACTACCCTAAATAATGAAATACACATTGCACACAAAGTATGCTCAACATATAATTATCAGAGTTATATAATATTAATATTATATGGTATAAGCTGTTTTTCATATTATTATTAGTTGTAAATAATAAATTTGTTTTATTGGGACAGCATAAAAATAACATGTCAACCATTAATAATTGATTGGTTATACGATACATTTAAAATTTAAAAAAAAAATAGCCTATTCATGGGTCGTGACCCTAAGTCATATATAACATTCGGTGAAATATCTCAAGGCCTCCGTGACCTTTATCTCGATTCATATTTATTATATATCTATAGATATAAGAAAGGAATGGATGAGATATCGGTTATATTTTTTTAGAATCTGAGGTAAGTTACGGCATGGCAATAAGCTAATCTGTATTCTGTGCTGCAATCAGAGGCACCATAAATCATGGAGACGCCTTTGCCTTAGATACAAAATGAAGTCTAACTTAGACCTCTAGTTAGCCAACTCTAGAGCCAACTCCAATTTTATTTGTGCCTTTCAAGTTCGTTTAAATAGAAAAAATCGCTGTAATTAGAAAAAATTGAATAAATATTAGACATTTTTTATTTTATTTATTTATACAATTTGACAGAAAGTTATTACAATGAATATAAGTATATAATGATATTATAACATTAAGTTATTTTATCAATTTTTTCTAAATCGTTTTAAACTCATAACAGTTAATTGAATGACATTTGTACGTTTTATATTAGGTAGGTACATCTCTTAAATCGCTTCACTCAGAATCTAATCTAAAATGTACCCAAGTAATAAAATCCGAACACTCGGTCTGCACATTTTTAGTTTCGGCACTGACGACACTGCGTGCAGCAACACCTATATAATCAACTATGCTACATGAAAACTAGATTAAAGGAAAACATAGTTGCGTCACATATTTTGTGAGAAATGTAAATACACGTGATTATTATTATGTTATTTTGATCGCACTGCGATAACCGTGTTAATGAGTTTCATTTCCAAGAAGTGTTATATTAATATCGTATAGCAATCTAAGGTTTCGTCGTCTGTTTTTGACTAGAACTAAATAATAATTATAATAATAATTGTTATTATTGTTTTGAGGATTAACAACGCTTTCAGACCACTGTATGTGCGCCGACGAGATGTGGCGGCAGCCCGCCGGGGTTCCGGAAATATTGTGAAATCGATATCGAACGATGAGCCGTTGCTTGTATTAATAGCCACCGTACGAAATCGAAATAAACGAACATACCACCGTTCGTGGCCTATACAGCTGCTTAGCACAAGGACGGCCGGTTTTTACGACGGCACAGCATCGTTTGAAATCGATTTCAACAGCCGATTACTATCGATTTGCGAAACGTTTATGCGCCGTCTCTCGCATTTCCATAATATTGTTGTAGTAACGGCCGACATCGACGTATCGGTCGAGATGATTTTCGACGTCCGGCCACTTAAAAGTGTCTACTAGAAAGTAGAAACTCCGCGAACCACACCACTGATGGGCTCCAGATCGACGTTGATTCGAGTGCGCAGACTCTATACCGCGGGTACCTCGGTTACCTAGGTCGTGTATTGTGCCATATTGCAGCACGCCAGGCGTGTTATACTCCCGACCGGAACTGCATCAAATCGACGGCGTTTAATCGGAACCGTGTGGGCCGTGTAGAAAATATGATCCTGTTATTTGTGACGACTCGCGGATGGTTGCGATGACCCAAGCGGAAACCACACGCACTGACTCCACGGTCCAACTCGTGTAGTATAATATGCCACCTACCATTACTGTGTTGGTGTAGTATATGTTACCTACCGAAAAATATGACATAGGTACCTGTCATCATATTGATCTTATTAAAGTTATAAATTTATTTTATTACGGACAACTACTTGTGACTTGAGTCATTTCGATAAGCAACATTAACGGCCATACAATAATATATCTAATACGCCCAATGTCACCCATTACGATAAGTAATAATTTGTAAATATCCACCAAGACAACGAAAACTTACTTTTTCCGGGGTGACCACAACATGAGGTATAACAATATAATATTTTAAAATACTTAACAACGATGATCAATAGAAATACATTAAGTAAGTTTAATTTTGATGGATTCTAATTAATTACAGATTACAATTAATTACGTTTTTGGTAGATAAATACACGCTCACAGTTGTTTGGTAGGTAGCATTTTACGACAGATAGCATATCACAAGAGTCCGACTCCGTAGAAGACAGTATAAAGAAAGAAAATTATAATTTTAATAAAAAAACCTTTTGTTCGCCGATACAATAACACCTCTTTGTGTCACCCAAGAGGCAACTCAAACTCCGGCTCCCACCTCCACCTGCACCGTCGACATATTTGCAACCACCTCCATTGCACTATTGCAGTCGCATTTAGAACCGGTTTACACTAAAGTTGAACATAATTTGAATACCTACGTTGCACATGCCAATGTTATAAATATAATTTTTCACCACCTATAAGTTAGGTGGATAGTGAAAAAAATAACATTATTGCATTTTGTTATTCAAAGTGTAAACGATTGTTCATTTACTTGGCTTATTTGCATAATAGGTACATTAATATATTTGAAATTTGACAAGACATTATTCGGTCGTCACCTTTCTTCTGTCTGGAATTCTTCAGTCAAAATACTGCACCCCTCCCTTTTTTATTTTTTACACTGCCACGAAAAATGTGTACAAGAATCACCTAATAATATTACGATCCCGGATTTTTGAAAACGTTTTTAAACTTAATTAAATCGTATTGAACCAAACTGGAAACTTTTTCAATCGAGACCATACCGAATTTTTAAAGATTCTAAAAATTTGTGAAAATTATTACGCCGATAAAATTATTACAAAAAATACGGACAAATATTTTACTTACCACAACAATAATTCAATTTGAAATATTTGAATACTAATTTGAATAGCTCATCATCTCAATTTCAGTATCGATTTTGACTTAATTGATATGGTTTTAAAATTGGACTTTTGGGAATTAGGCTCTTTTGAACATTTTAAATTATCATTAATTATCAGTTTGTAAATAACAATTTATACTATTTTACTAACCTATCACCACCGGACACATGGACGAATAGTTTTGTAACAACGTAATGCAGTTAGCTGACAAAGTTGCGTAGGAATCTCAGGCGAAATTATCAATAAAACAACGACAACAATGGAATGAACGTGTTTGTTGGCAATGATTAATTACCACTATTTTACACAACGATAAACCCGAGTTTTTCTTGTTGCTTATCGGTTGTTCTTTTATCTTATGATTTTATGTGTAACATAAACTATAACCCTTTATTATACGTATTAAATATATTCAGGACAAATAGTATGGTCTCTCGTGTTATGAGGTTCGTACTAGGTTCAAGGTTGGTGGTCTAAAATTGAAGTATTTTTATTAAAATGTATAACTAAACATGTTTTGGTGATATGTGAAAATAATTACCACCATAAAGCCAGGTGCAAAATTCTGATATGAATTGATATGCAAAACAGTTTTAGCACACATCGGTAGGTTGTTACCTATTGATGGCAACTATTGTGGTGAAACTAGTGAAAAATGATTTACAAGAACTCACTCGACACATCGTTCTAGAGTAGTCTTTTACAAAAGACCATTTAGTGATATCTACACTAAGATTTGCAGTTAGAGAAATAGAATATTATACTTAAATTGTTATTTGAAGCTATTAAAATGGATTTTTATTATAAATAAATTGTATTATTAAAAACTGTTACTTTTAGAGAATGTAAAGCATTATGGTCATATACAAACAGTTTACAGTGTGTTAGTGTGGCAAGTTCATCATTATTAGTTTTGTTCGTATTTGTGATCCATTGTGATGAATCATTTTATGGTCCAATTTTAAGACAAATTGTTTAATAATATCTCTCTAATTATTTTAATCTATAATATTATGTCCTTTATTAATTTAAGTTAATTGGCATTTACCTAAACGATACATTTTGAATTCATTCAAATATCTACAACCTACATGAAATAAAATAAAATAAAAATAATAATTATAATTTGATGTTGCAGATAATTTAATCTCATTTTTTTTATTAGTAATATCTTCTTCATTGATTTTAGTTTTTCTATACGTTTATAAATTCATTAATTTATATATATTAATTGATTAAAGTGTAAAATGTTATAGTAATATTATGCTATTGGACGTAACAAACATAATACCACAGCTTAAAATTATAATTTAAATAAAATAGTTAATTCTCTAACTACAAATCTTATCGTTGATACCACAGTAGATTAAAGTTTATAATCTACCGTGGTAGATACTAAAGATATTTCTAAACGATGTATCACGGTGGTTCCAAAATGTCTACACACACTTACGATGACAAACTTGTCACATTAACGCTGTATGTATTTTCACTACACGACCCTAATGAATCACTATACTACTTCCAGTTTTCAAAAACAACAATTGTTGATGAAAATAATACAATTTAATCTCTAACTTCAATTCTTAATGCAAATATCACCAAACTCTACCCAAAAATGACAAAAATATGTAAATCTGTCACCACAAAATATGTACTACTTAAAGAGTTTCCTATCATGTGGATATAAACTTCGGTTTTTTATATGAGAACAGTCCTTTTAAACTGTAAATTATAATTTAGTACATTATTTTGCTGAATAATTTAACTTTGAAAATTGTAGTCATTAGTATTAATTTATCAACATGAATAATTTGTAAAAATGGCCCGAGTATAATAAAATATACTAGTTCCAATTTTACGTCTATTTCATATTTTTGTAAGATCATTTTTAAGAACTATTGTTCTTAGTACAAATATTTTAATGGCTAAGAAACTACTCATTCAAATTTCGACATAGCTACATCAAAATTTGAAAAATATACAAGTTTGTATTGCCAGAGAGAACTCCTTAAGTAGTACAAACTATTTCTTTGAGTACGTATATTTAAAAATTACAAAATTTAGAATTTGAATAAATTCATCATTAAAAATAATATAGGAATGAGGAGTTATTGGTGAATAACCCTGGATAATTATAGTCCATAGACCATAATCAACTGTTTTACCGTTGACTAAGAAATAATTATAAAATAGAATATTTATTCAAAATTCAACAACAACTTTTGAATGAGCAATTATTTATTTAAACAATTTAAAAACGTGACAATAAAGTTTCATTATTATTCGTCTATAAAATATTACTATAGCGGAATTTTATTTAATTTACGTTATGCATCATTTGATAGTTTGTATTTAATTTTTATAATAACTACCTATTATGTTTGAAATATTTATGAAATAATAAAAACTAATAAATTTACATTATATGTTTAAAACATTCTTTTTTAATTTACTTGCTTCAATTTTTTCGCACAGTGTATTTTAAATAAAAAATAAGAGAATAAAAAAAAATTATATCATGCAACAACATATTATATTTATGACATATAAATAAAAATAAAAAAAACCCCAGAGAAACCATTTTAGTTTTTTTAAGTCGCTAGATACCTTGATACTTTGTGAAGCTTTTTTTCGTTCTTCACGTTTCTCTAACCAGTACACCCTTTTCGTTAATGTATCTATCAATCTCTTTTTTTGATGTTCCATTCTCATATAACCTCTTCCTTCTCTTTACTACAACTCATAAAATCCCACACACTTCTTCATTTTCACCTTAACTCATACAATTTCAACCTTAAATATGAAATATGTATTTTTCATAAACTCTCTAAAAAAGTAGTGAGGTTCAGCCAATCTTTGTACTATTTATAATCGAACAAAATTTCTTTTGAAACCATAAAATATAATCTGAATTCAAATAAAAAGTATTTAGGTGAGGTTAAACGTATTATACGTAGTGGTGTATTATAACCAATAGATAATAATTTATAATCTATATAAAGTATAATGCAAATTAATGATTATCAATATTTTTTAACTGAAAAATACAAATATAAATAATAATAAATTCACCATTTTTTGAAGTAAATTAAAGTCTTATAAACTATGGTTACTATAGTTGCACATTATATTGTTAAACTGTGTCAAGTCAAAAAAGTATTAACTTTACAGTTATTCTTTTTTTGTTATTGTAATTAATAAAGCCACTATTTAGAATAAAATAAGTTCACCCAAAGTTTTACGCAGCAACTTTTTAGATAGGAAATTATACAAAGGCGGAATATTAAAAAGGTCAGTTTTAATATTATTTAGTTATTAATTTATGTTATATTAGTGCGCGTTTTGTTTTTATGTTTTGAAATAAAGTATTGAGTACATTTGAAGTATCTCAAGTGCCTTTGTACGTAGTACTTTGTTCGGCTTGTTTTATTCTCGTTTCTATTTTCTACTATTTTAAATAAAAATGTAAAATAAATATGGTGCTGTTAGTGGTAAATCAATTTAAATAAATACTTGACTATCTAACTGATTTATATTAAGTCACTTATTATTTATAAAATATTGATAATAATTAATATTTGCAATCAATATACATTGTTGTACACTATTGTCTAGGCTGCAGGGAATTAATAACTATTATTTGGATGCGCGGATTATAATTCTCCGAAAATTCCAATTACCTATGTTTATTTACCAAATTAATAAATCAAATTAATTTAACTACCTACTAGTATTAATTTATTTTAACCAATTATGTATTTCAGTCTAAATCGTGAATAACGGTGATAATATTTTAGTCTTTTGATTTCATATTCAGATCAGCGATGTAGGTATTTAAATCTAAAAATCAGTATATTTTGAATTGCATAAAACCTAAGTTTACACACGCATTGTTAATGTGCACAATGATACCGACTGTGTCTCTAAAAATACATTTTTACAATATTATAATCCACTTTTATACTGGTAACATACAACATTTTCGAAAATCAATAATTTCACATTAAGATCTTATAAAATTATATTAATAATTATGTATTTATACCTACTTTTTATCATATAACTTGAGTGTTTACCAATAATGATTTGTTTAATGTTTCGATAGTTTCTTTCAAAAAACACATAATTTACAATCATAGGCATTAGCTGAAATTAAATTAATCGTAAAAATTAATGTTTACTGATTAATATTGTTTTTATAATTTATCGTAGGTTAAAAAGTATCAAAATAATATTTAAAATTCAAACAAAAGTTTATATTTTAAGGTCTGAGTAAATAAATTCACAATGGCTTTAATTATGTAGTCAAATAATTATAAGTACAATTTTTTCCATTTAGAGGTAGTTATACCATAGTAATTGTTATTCACAGTATCATGCATTATTTTACGCAGGATAAGAATACGAATGTCAACTTGTAGAATTCCTACAAGAATTAGAGAATTAAAATTAATTTGAGACATTTTCATACCTACTTAAAGATAATGCATTTATAAATGTATTAAAGTGCTTATTTGAGAATAATTATATAATTTACTCCTTATGTCTTATTTTTAGTTTTAATTAAGAACTGTACAATATGTAACTTACTGTTTACAAAAATCGTAATTTATGTTTAGTTTAATATAAAATAGGTTAAAGTAAAATCAAATATAATACATTTGTGGTGAAGCTAGTGATGGAGTTTTGTTTATGTACCCAAATAAATTATATAGATAAGTGATAACTATTACTATATTCAATAGTTACAGAACACAAGATATCGCAGTACTTATTCAGATTATTAGACATGTTTGATGAATAATTATATGACACTAAATAATACCAAATTAATTTAAGAACATGTCAAAGCAATATTTGTATTTTCTCTTAGACCCACGTGCAATATAGAACAGAGTATAAGAAACATTCGTGTAAAATCGTTTTTTATGATTTCTGAGTAATCTTATTTTAGTGTAAAATCATCTATAACAAAAACAATAGAGGATAATATTTTTGAAGGTTTTACACGTTATCGGTTTCATATTTTATTATTACTTGATTTTAAAGTCGATTATAAAAATTTAAAAAAATATATAAACAATTAAACAGATATTTAATTGTTTTGCGACAATATTAAGACAAATCGATTGATACGTCCAAAAATATTATTTATTATAATAGTTGTTATGTGTAATTTACTCTAAAATTACTAAAAAATAAAAATAAAATGATTTTACGTGAATGTGTTTTGTCTACTTGTGTCGGATAGAGAAAACAAACAGTGCGCTGACATCCTCTTAAAACATTGCCCATGTGTCCTAATACATTTATCATGAAAAGAAAAATATTTATAAAATAAAAAGTTGTATGCTTAAGGCTGTGCTCGGAATTAATCCAGCCGTGGCGCCGTTCAACATACAAACAAACTCACAGACGTTTTTAAATGCGATGATATTATATCATTGCTCTATGCAATCTTCAAACCTATAATAATAATAATATTATTGTTATTATAATATATCAATAATCAGGTCGTGCTGACAGCGAGACTATAATAGGGTAGAACGATTCATCTGACAAAGACTGTTAAGACTGTTTGTATTATTCAGCTTTTTTTGTTTGATCGAGCTATAGGTAACAAAACAATATATAAATTCTATATACTATTTACTGTAATTGACTGTAATTATCTATAGTAAAACGTGAGGAATAATAATGGAAAGAAAACTGAAATGTATGTTTATCGGGTGCTCCGTAAATTAGTGCAAAATTAAAATGTCCACCGAGGCTTGCATACTAAGTAGAATAGTTATTGGGAATAATCACATTTTTTTGCACATTATTATAAGTCGTACCTACCTACTCTAAAATAATAAAATATGCATGAATGTGACGCGATTTGTTTTTCAGTTGGGTTATTACTTATTTTACGAATAATCGGTATTTCAAACGGGTGAGAAAATTTACAAGGTATTTAGAATTCCAAGCTGTTTGAACTTTGACTCGTACTGCACTTCACGTTGTATTGTTTTGTTTAATACAAAGGCACCTGCACAAACGTTATGACTGTAACTTGAGCATTTTGATTTAAACAACAATAGACTATAATATAATATAGTAACATAAACCACTACAAGTTTCTAATTGCAATATAACTGTATGATATATATTATAGCGATCACGAGTAGTGTCAAAGAAAGAAGTGGTCGGAAAATGATAGTATAAGCATAAAAACATAATACATACTATAGGATGGGCAGTTTAAAAATTCAGATTAACATCTAAATGGGTTTCTAACTGGGTTTAAAAAAAAACTAGGTAGCGTTATAAATTATTATTTTTACATACATATTATATTGTATTATTATATATTGCTTACACGCAAATTCAAAATACACTTTGCGTGATGTGTTAATATTTATAGTGAGTGCTTTAGTTTTAAGCTGGTGTTGTATAAATAATGTAAGCCGATACACATAAATATAAAAATATTAAAATGGATTTGGATAATCGTAACGTTGTGATACATTTTTAAACATAAGAAATATTTTCAATGAATATTAAAAATATAGCTTAGTTAGTGGTTGAATTACATTTAGAAATATACTGTATTACTAAATAATATAATATTCCTATACCTAGTATTTATATTTTATTTACATATTTTAAAAAGAAAAAAAAGCATAGGTACATAAGTAATAAAATTAAAGAATTGTTATTTAGATCAGACAACTTCTAGTGTTCAATCTATAGTTTAACTTAATATAATCCAAATTATATTTTGTCTAAGAGGATTGGAAGTTGTGATTTCTTGTCTTTGTCTAACACACGTGATTGGAATTTAGACTTGTTTTCATTTCAACGTACCAATTGATCTAGTGAAGCGATAGGAATTCTATAAACAAATTTGAATTTGTCATCATGTCTACTTGTGATCGACTTGCCCATAATTTTGATTTTATTCTCATGAATCATAAAAAAATTCGTACCAAAAGTTAAAAAAGAAGGAAATGGAATATTTAAATTTCTGGAGAAGTTAAAATCAAAAAGTTAAATTCTGGGAAAGTTGATGAATTCAAATATGTTTTTATAATTCTTATCGATTCACTAAATCAACCAATACGTTGGAATGAAAACACGTCTAACTTCCTATATTTCAGGCAAAGACGGGAGATCAACTCTTCCAATCCCCCTAGGCCTTAATATAAAAACAAAACTATTATAAGTACATTTTCCACTCAATATTACAATTTACAGCTGAGTTTTATCTATATTATATGATTTTCTTTTTTGTTTTTGTATCTATTGTACCAACTAAATTATTCGCAGTGGCTAAATCCTAGCTTTTTTTTTGTATGCAGAATAAAAATTCGATTCTATTGGACTAATTTGAAAATATGTAGCCATAAATGCGTCATAAATGCGTTTATAAATAATTGTTCTCTTTCAAGTTAGTCAAATGTACAGGTGAAACGTACAATACATGTTACATATATACATATAATATTATAATAGTAGCTTCCTCACATTACCATACAAACTCATAAGTATAAAACAATTTGGTCTGGTTTTTAAGTTATTCCTCATAGTTAAGGTATTAACTTGATTAAGATGTTTTATAATCTCATAATACCCCATTAAGTGAGCTGAATAATAATAATAGTAGCAGGTAATTAAATAATAAGGAGAAGTACTGGCACCATAGTTCCTCCTCCAGTCCTTGATACCATAATAAAAAAAAAAGGTAATTAAATAATGGTTTATTGATAAAAAAAAATATTGAAGTATACTTACTTAAATAGTAACTTATTAAGTTTGTGATAGAAACAATAGATTGTTATAATGCATTTTATAATTTTTAATCATCTGTATTAAGATATAAATTATATATAAGTCAACGGAAGATTATTTAAATTGAAAATTAAAAATTAATGTAAGATCATCATTAAAAAACAGGTTACTGTTAACATACAATTATCTAATAAACAACAACATAAATATTGACTATAAGGTATAATAATCTTGTATTTAAATGTAATATTTTAGTTATAATTCCAAAACATGTTGACATGTAAAATATTATTGTAATATATAGTTATAATGGATCTTTTTTTTCTTTTTTTGAATGGTTAATTAGTTCTGGTTACTGGTTAGGTAGTTTGTTACATATACTAGGCCTAACCAACACTCGGCTATATTTAAATAAAATACTTAAATTTGTTATGAACTAATGTTGGATAAAACACCACCTCATACTATTTTGTAATATTTAATGATGTATTTTAGATAGGTATATCTAATGATTTCTGATAAATAGAAATTTATTGTCAGCATTTAAATCATCGACAGAATTCGAACAGAACTCGATAATGATAATTTTGATTACAATAGATAAGTATTATTTCCGATTTGGGTCATTTATGACCTAAAAATGCTTTTCTGTTTTTTTGTATTATTTTGTGTCTATATCACGCAACGGCTGCAGGATTTCTTATCAGACACGAAGTCAACTACCACAATAAGACGTTGCTTTATCCAGGATGAGTGACCCCGTGGGATTTTTAGGAGCAACAGGGCATATTGCGTGTTATTTCTTCCCTCGCTATTAACTATATTTCCTGGGATCAACAAAAGTCTTTACAATGCCCTTCGGCCTTTGTCTAGGTTACACGCGTATATACAATACCATACGCACACAGCAACGTTTCAAATGCTTCTTTTAGACCGTTTAAAAATTATTAATATTTCATAAAAGCTTTTATAGGATATGAGCTCTAACAAAATGGGTGTTTTGCGCACCCATACGATAAAAAGATGTCTATATCATACAATATTATGTTTTATATTCATAACACCGTCATCTTGTTTTGTGTGTTTTCTATATATATATATAGCCGAAAACGTATGCCAAGTGAAATTCAATACGAGATCGTTGAGAGAACACGATCACCACCGATCGTCAGTACCCTGCAACGATGAAACGGGGACCGGTGACTTGGTCCGACGCCGACCGTTGTCCAAGTCCGACTTTGACCTCAGCTATCCCGAGGACTTGGACTACTTGTGCAAGAAGTTTGCGGCCGCAGAACGGCGGCATGTCACGATGGAGAGCTTCGCATCGTCGTCGTCGCCGAGCACGCCAGGCGCCGGTCAGGGGTGCTGTCCATCCGCAATCAATTCGTCTTCCTGCGCCACCGCCACCGCCCAGTCCACTATACAGAGCATCAACGTGGTGCAAAAGACCCATTCCTTCTTCAATTCCTTAAAGGTAATCACACGAAACCAGTCTTTGAATCATACACCCGACGTGGATAATCGGATGTAGAATAATATGCATATGACGGGAAGTACATATCTACGCAATATAAGCATATGAGTAGGGGTACCTATACTTACAATAGTTATTTTCAATCGGATAATATTTTCTAAAAAAAGTATCAAAATGAAAAAAAAAATGAATTATATGGACTGTTTGTAAATTAACCTGTGTGGCTGTGAAATTTGAAAACAAATCATTTATATATATATGTACACCTATAAGCAAGCCTGGGAAAGTTAATGATAATTTTTAACTGAGTTAAGTTAAGTTATTAGAAAACATTTCAAAAAGTTTAATTTAAAGTCAATAGTTACCTATTTTTTTTTAAACTCGGTTAAGTTAAAAGTTATTCGAAAACATATTATAATTTATTTACTAACTTAAGTTATTTATTTTTTTTTTTTTTATACATAAGCAGCTAGTTATATGATTTAAAATAATAATAAGTAAATGTTAATGCAATATATATCATCAGTAAAAATTGTATTGTATTTATTATTTAATTATTTATAAAGGAATGAAATTGGATTTGATTAAAAGTAACTCGTTATTCATTAAGTTTATATCAATAAAAATCAGTCAAGTTAAAAATTAAGCTAATGAAAATTAAATTTTAGAAAGTTAAAATTAACTTAACTTTAACTTTTTAACTCGTTTATGCCCAGGCTTGGCTGTAGGTAATGTATTATTGTCGCTCGATGATAATACACTTTGAAAAAATAAAACATTATACATTATATGTAATGTTATCTCAAACATATAATTTTACAAACCACGTGAAGGGTCCCTGTGGTGTTCAAGCATACACACACGTGTGTTAAAAAACGATACAAACTTCATTACTACGTTCTCCAATGACAAAAAAGTCCGAACACTATTTCTGCGATGGTAAATAAATGTTTATTTTTTTTTTATCCAGGGTATTAAAAATCAATAACGCCATTACCTACACATGAGTTCATAACACATGTTATCGTAATTCGTAGTTACATTTTGTAGCGTAGATAATATATTGCAGAATACAACATAATAATAGGTATATTATAGAATTATACGACCGTCAAATCAATAAATTTTTATTTTATTTTGTTCTCAAATAGTCTTTTTATACCTGTAACTTTCATCCAATTGTATGAAACTTCCATAAAAATTGCGATGAAATAACATTAATTGTTTTTTCTATAAAATAAAATCCACCCAAAATACATTGATTATAATTACCAATTAAAAATGTTAGATGATAATACAAATCCTACAATTATTAAATCACACAACCTGAAAAACACTATTAACGGTTCAATAAAAAATTTCTATAAATGTTATAGAATAATTGATTGGTAATTTTTAAAAGTTTGGAATACATAAAATTGTTATTAAAAATTTGGGTCTTTACTCAGTACATAGTGATACTAGTATACTGATATCCACAATAATAAACAGAACTAAATACTTAGGTACCTACATCGAAAACTACAACGCACTTGCCCGAAGCTTATTTTATACCTAAATAATATTTACTTTGACATTAAATAGTATAAAATTACTAAAATTATATTTTGTAACTATGAAGGTATTTTATGTTTATGGTTATTAGAAATTGAGGTATGAACACATGCTCTTGTTATTTAAATTTAAATTTGTTAATCCAATCTATTATATTAAAATAAAAAACATTAGACAGTAAATAATTTATCATTTCACTTAGTTTGGCAAACATGGTATTAATTTTATGAATTGAAGGTAATAAGGATTTATCTTAACTCAACAATATTATAATTGACATAACATCACAGCCTAAAATGGGAACTTTAAAATGCAACAATTTTTGTCAACATTTCTTTGAGAAAAAAAACGGGGACTGCTGAAAATAACCTAGGAACATAAAACAAAGTGTATGATATATAATATCTATTAAGTTGAAGCAAACGTTAAACTAGTTTAGTTATTTAACGTGAGTGTTAAAAACAATCGATTTAAATAGCTTGATAAAACTAAAAGTATTTGTGTATTTTATTATATAGAAGTTTTTTCTTTTTGTTTGATTCTTCGGATTTTGAAATAACCAAATAACTATTTATTCACTTTAATTTTTTTAAATATACATTTTTCAATTAAATTAAAATGATATTGTATTTATAATATTTTCTTTCAGAAAATATCATGTACCAATATATATATATAAATAACAAAATATGTGTTATACATAACTCGTATTAATATTATGTAACATTATAATTTATTATAAGGTACTATTATAATTTAAAATATATTGTTTTCATCATTCTTTTCATTGAAATTTTTATCTGCCAAATAAATTACTGATTCAAACATTTGTTGGTCTATACTTATTAATTACTGTGAATTTCACACAAATAAACAATATGTACTCACTGAAACGCATAGCTGTTAATATATTGCTTTTATATTTTGACACAAATTGCGTTATCCCATCGGAGCTAGCTAACAATAATAAATTAGACCAGAATTCTACTAAGCCTTTAAAACTATGTACTAATAACAAAGAATATAGTTTATTTTGTTGCTAAGCAATTTAAGGGAAATAATCCAGTACATTCAAATAAAACATAAAAGGGGATTTTTATACAAGATAAGACGTAACATAATATTATGTTCTCAGGCAATTGTTTTTAAATAATGTTTATTAATCATAATTTGAAGCATACTCCTAGCTGTTTTAAATAAATTATGGTACATAAAAAAATATATGGGTCAACCTAGCTATTCCACTCCTCATAACTTACCGTCACATACTTATATTTTGGTTCTATACAAATAAACTTTGGGTTTCGGTACAATATATTTTATAATTTACTTATACAGATAAGTTTTTAACACGAGATATTAAAACAGAAAAAAAACATATGTATTAAAATTGACCGTGATTATTGGTGACTCGCTTTAAAAGTCAGTATAGCATTACAGCCATACAATGTTCATATACCTAGGCTTAGAATACTTTATTTGATTAAATTTGAATTGCATATTATGTTATATACCTACACTTTACTATTATTTAAATAAATCAACTAACACCATGTATAATAATATCAATATAAATTAATGATTTATTATTATTTAATTTTGTGTTTTATTAGAATCGGTGGTTTCCTACCGAGGTAAACAAAATGTATATGTTATTTAAAAAATACATTAGTTTATGCTTTATATTTTTAGTTTGAACTCAAACCTATTTAAATGTATATATATTTACTCTAACAGTATCATCATAACATTATTTTCAGGAGAAATGGGCCAAAGGGAGAAATAAAGCACGAGGCTCTGACACTGACGAGTCACCCTCTGAATCTCCTATACTTGCAAGACTAGTCCGTCCAGACACTTTACAACAAACTAAGACTTCAGACTCAAAAAATACTCAAAATTCAATTACTAGTGGTATGGTATTTTAAATAAATGTAAAATTCAAAAACTACATTTTCTCAAAATGCAGCAAGATGAAAATGTTGTTATGTAAAAACTGAGTATTATGCGAAACAATAATAACCAAATAACCAAGTATTCTTTATTATAACTTAAATTAAAAATAATAAACATTTTTGTTCATCAAACGGTCTTAAATTATTAAAATCTTGAAACGTATAGTTTTATTTTTTTATTAATTGTGTCTTATAGTTTCAATAAATCCAAAGGTCAAAATAAGAATTATTCTAATATTAACTTTAAAACTAAATATTTTATTAAATTCATTTAATGATCATAATGTATTTCAATTTTGACCAGTGTCAAAACTTTCATATCGAATTAGATTGTTTTTCAGTGTTTATTTTTTTAATGTAATAAGAAAGAAAAATAAAGGAGGTGTGATCAATTTTGAAAAAATACAATTTTTCTCTCATTAAAGGAAAATGTTTGATAATCAAATAAAATAAAACTACAAATAACACTAAAATATTGACACATTTTTATACATATTTTAGAATTTGGATTGACTCAGAATTGGTTCCAGAAAGTTGTTTCACGTGACCATCAAGTTCGGCTTCGGAGACAAAATTCAATAAGATCTGAACAACAAATAGATTTAGCTACACCAGTAAATATTAATTTTAAATTCCTACCATTTTTGTAATTTCGTTAAATTAATATAATGTAGTAGATAGGTATGCACTCACTAAAGAATTGAGATAATTTCTAAAAGCAACAAACGTTCTTTAGTAAGATAGTCCTTTATTGTTTAAAATATTTACTCTAGACAAATACCGATCTCATGAGTTTGAGCAGTATTGTGTAATAATGTAAACATAACTTGGCTTATAATTTACATTTTAAAACACATTCATATTATTCAAAATATTTTTACAAAAGCTTTGAAATTAAATTCTGTTGTCGAATTTTGATTTACCAGGAAGGTCAAAATCCAATTCAAAATGAAGCTTTGCTCAGAAAATATGACTTTTTTCAACTCAAAATACATTTGAAAAAGGGAAAAGATCTCATTGCTCGAGATAAAAATGGTAGTTATCAGAAAAATTTTTTTTCAGAACAATATCAAAACTATGTTAAGTACTAAAGTGTGTCAAAATTGTAGGTCTCAGTGATCCCTATGTGAAATTTAAGATAGGTGGAAGACTGATTCACAAATCGAAAACAGTGTATAAAAGTCTGAATCCAACTTGGGACGAAACGTTTACACACCTACTAGATGATCCTTTTGAACCAATTCAAATAAAGGTATGGACTAATTCTTTTTTAAATCAACAAAATATAATTTTTAAAAAATACTCATTTAAATTATAAGTGGTGGGTCAAAGGTATGGTAATATGGTTTGTTTGTAACAAATACATTTATAAATTGAATCTATATTGTATACCTTTAAATATATTATGTTTTGATTATATTATTTGGTTTTTTCTGTTCTGCATAGGTAGGCATTGTTTTTCGCATTTCGCATTTTGTTTTTTTTATTTCAAATGTTTGTTTGTTAAATTATAGTTTTATGCCCACATAGGCCACCGCCTCAGGGGAAACTTTTTTCTAAATAAAAAAATATTACATTATAACAATATGAGGTTCATTTGCCTGGCACTTTCACGATTAAAGTCGGGTTAAATATATATCTATATTTAAACACAAGTTCCAACGTTTTTGTGTATTAAATAACCCTTCACCACCCATATTTTACTAGTTGTACTTTTGTGGAGAAAAACAATAAACAAAATCTATCATAAAATAAATATCATTTTTGTACTAAATATAAATATAAATATTTGTACAGTGACGTTATTTCCCTAACGGTTACCAAACATACAATACATAATAATTTAAAGTAGGTTAGCTGAACATCCCGATTTCATCTGTGTACAGTTTTTTTTTTTGGAAAAATCTGTATTACAGTAAATAAGCTATATATGTGTACCTTGGTTTGAGTGTATATCAGTTTTAGTGTACCTCAGTTCACAGACAAATCGGCGTCAGTGACCAGTATACCTAGCTTTGTGAAATAATTCTACCTCAAGATGGGTAACCACGAGTCGCGGATTTTATTTAGCACTTGGTAAATTTTTTAACGTTGTTTGAACTACTTACTCTCTAAACTTTTCTGACTTCTCTAAAAGTGATCTTTGAGATTTTGGTCAAATTCGATTCAGTTGTTTTTGAGTATATAAGTTACACCCATACTTTTGGTTTTAAGGTATAGTTCCTTTATTTGTGGCCATAGACGTGACGATTTAATGTATGATTGTAAATGATCTGCCCGAGTAACCAATGTGCCACTTATAAGCAAAAAATGTTTGAATTTTCACAGTGAACCTCAAGATTCATGTTTGGCCACCTTTTTAAAATTCGAATATCAGAAATTCCTTGTGTACATCTAGATCATTAGAGAGACCACTATTCCAAATTTCGAGTTCGTACTTTTTGTAGTTTCTGATGATACATTTAGAAACTAGAAATTAGCTTCACTTTCACAGAGTGAGCTTACCTAATACCGTTAATAGTAAGTACTATCATACTACCTAGTCTTAATAATCAATAGTAACATGCCTAAGTCAATAAGCTACACAAATACGAGTAGTAACTAATGGCAACCCTATATATAAACCAAACAATGTTGTTCTTGTGTTATATTATAAGGAACCTGCTACTAGCTGTGAGCATAGCACTTCAATTTTTCCTGAATTAGAGATACATATTATGTGTTTTGGGTTATAGTGCAGTGAAAAAACATATTGTAGCATGCTACAATTTGTTAGTAATTTAATTTAATTTTTTTTTATTATTATTATTATTGTTGATTTGCTTTTCTATAACAATAAACAAAGCGTTAAAAAAAAACGACCTAGAGGAAATTAGTTAGAAAAAAAAAGTTGTACGCAGCCCAAAAACATATTTATGTTAAAATATGCGTTTTTGTGAGCAAAATTCACCCGTGAGGCATAAGTCACCCTATGTTAATCTATAAGGGTTGAAAAATGAAGCTTTAAACACTCCCAGAGTCTCAAGGAATATATTTGTAAGATTTGGTGGAAACCGATTCAATAGTTTCTAGTCTATAGGCCTTATCCAAACGTACTAAACGTACTAATGTACCACATACCAACGTATTAATTAGTACAATGGGTTTGTATATAATGTGTTTCATGGTATCTAAAATTCTTCTGCTAAACCTTACAAATACAGCCATTGCAGTAATCATTCGTAATGAGGAATTTAAAAACAGACTCGCACTTCAGATTTGTATATTTTATTTTTCTTGGTTTTTCATTGTAAGCTATCTAAATTTCTTATTTCAAAGCTGCCCTGTTTCATATGGACCGCTGAAGTTGTGTTTGAAAGTTGTAGTTTATTATTTTTTTCATTTGTGTACAACTAATATATGTATATACTATATGTATATAATCTACAGTATTATAAATTACTGAATTTATTAAGGAATAATACATTTATAAAGGAATAAATCTGTTCATTATTTTGTAGCTCGAAGACAGGAGGTGCACACTTGATCAAATTGTATGTGTTCATGCGTCATACAGAACACACGCAATTGTACAATTTGTTCAAGTGTTCCCACTGACTTCATACTCCGTTGTATGGGCGATCAATGACTCTGCGAGCCAAACCCATAATTAATATTTTTAAGGAATAACATGTACGTGGTTATTAATTATCTCGGCTTAATTTTTGTTATACATACGTTAACACTATACAGTAGACCTAGCTATCGACTATTTTTAATTAATAAAATTCTTTGGAATTGTGTCTTGAAATAATAGTTTTAAATGAGCCACGGCCGATTATAATAATTCATGATCATAATTTGCAGACCTAAATTAGCATGTTATATGAAAATGTTTGGAAAATTACTATTAATGTATTTTGATATATTATATTAACGTGCCTTATTCATAAGAACATAAACTTCATGACTAGTAGATCTCGTACGAATAAATTTACCGTTGCGATATTTGCATACACATTAATGAAAACCTCCAACCTAGAAATTTGATATTATGTATAATGTATAAGGTGGGTACTTGGTATTATTAATTGTTTAGATTACTAAATCGGCAACAAAATAAAAAAAAAACTGTGTTTGCATTACACGTAAAAAATATTATATTGTAAAGTGTTTCTCGGGTATTATATGATGTAACGCCTTTGTTTTACTAATGTAACAAATATTTTAATATTCCGTCAATTTCATTTTAAACTATAATGCATATAATGCTGTTACATAATACTTTGAATAATTGAATGTCAAAATCAGGTTCCAATCACCGTGATGATAATAAAAAAATTGTTGTTTTGATTTTTTTTTTAAATTTCATAATTAGACAGGTGTGTTACATAAAAATATTCGAACTTGTGAGAAAATAGTCATATAGTCTGACACTATAGTCAGATAGTAAATGTTGCAACTCTTGTAGAGTATGCTACTCGATATTTTTCCTCTGTAAGGATACAATAGATATGTTTTTATTGTTGATTCGGGTTTTTATGACGATAAACAAAGCGTGAAATCGGTTAGAAAAAAAAGTTGTATCCAGTCCAAAAACATATCTATCTTAATATGTATGATTTTCCACTGTCCGGATAAATGTACGTGTCTTTGTCCCCATTCATATCTTTTTATCAACGTTATAATAAATCCAATATTGACTTTATATAATAGTAAAAAACTTCGGTATAGTGTTAGTAGTGAACTGTATTTTATTGCACTTTTAGAAGGTTATAGAAGAGTGAACGCCGTATACATCCGTTTTTTTTAGTTAATTTTTTGGAATTTACTCCAGTTGGCTTTTTACTATATAGCATATTAAAATATATGGAATGTAAATACCAGGATCAATATTAATATCATATTATAATTCCTACATCGTCATAAAAATAATATATTTTAAAAGTATACATTGTGAAATGCGCAATCACGATAACAACGAAATCATTTTACTTCATTCGTAATTTTTGTGAACAATCTATTATAATATGCATGAATTATTATTAAAATGTCTGTCAGTGGTACATTGTATAATATATATGAATATTAAATAAAAAATAGTGTTTTTATTTTTATTTAAATTATCCCTCGGCATCAAAGGCTATTGGGTTAGTGTCGTTTCATAACCTGATAATGGTGAACATAATATACGAAGGATAATTACTTATTTCATACATAAATCTACGAAGTACTACAATCAGTAATGTTTTACTTTTTGTTATTTTTTTTTGCAAAACGCCTCAACTTATAGCGTTTCTGAAATACATTCATATTTAAAAAAAAAATGTTGTTACATTGTTTTCGTATATTACTTTTAAGACTTGTATTAATTTAATTACAATATGCTTAGTATAGGCATGTGTGTATGTAATATTTTATTCATCAAGTTCGTTTCTTTGAATAGTTTGAATAGTTGAAGACAGTTATGTTTTTCAATTTTTATATTACTTAGATGGTAATGTTTTTAATGTAAGTGACTTCCCGCCACATCACAATATTTACCCGTTGGTGTAAAGTCAAATAATTGTCGTATTTCGATTAGTGTTTCTCAAGTTTAGTTTAATTTCATTGTCGGCATGTATCTAATAGAGTTGAAGTTCCTATCTGCGGGATCATGAAACTTATTTACATTCGTTAGTATTTGACAAAAGCATCCATAAGTAACTTTAAACTTAGTCGTAACTATAACATAAGTCTCAATGGTCTTAATTTAAGTACCTACCAAGTATTAATACACTGTGGTCGCCAACATTTAATTATTCAATATTGCTTCGTAGACATTTCTATTAAGCAGCAACGTTAGTAAACGAATACAGTCGTATTAGTCGACAGACTTCGTTAATTAAAATGTAAACACAGTTATGTTGTCGTTACTTGTTACTGATAATTAATAGGCAAATTGTGAGTATTATTGTTGTGTAATATAGTACAATAATGGTTTATATTAGTTTTGTTATCTTTACTATATTAGATTTTAATATGTAAAGACTTTTAAATATCTGATCTGTGAACACTTGTATGGTATCTATCAATACACTGTGGTTAACTGCAAAAATTAATATTATATTCCAATAATACTAGTTTGCACAAATATCTGTTCATACTTCGAACTCTGACGATACTCGGGTATGCCGTTCTTAAATTTATGGAAAACCATTATTTGTTATTAATCAAAAAGCAAATAATTACTAAAACTATCGTATTACAGATAGAATATTTTTGGGCTACCATTTTAACCATTTTCATAAGATAATTAATAATCATATTTTAGAGTCACATTTCATTAGGTATTCAGAGTTTCCAGCAGGGCTGTTTTAGTATAGTTATAAATTATAGGACCTATTTTAATATTAAATTTTTATGCCACCTTACAGTTAGTAATAACATTCTATATAATTGTAATTAATAATTATTATTTGTAATGAATAATGACTTAAGTAATTGTTATTTTACAATTTTTTTTTTCCACAATAAGGTCCCTTTATTTTACATTAATATGTTTAATTGTATTAAATATTGATTTAAAAATTTAAAAAAACATTTGTACCTTTAATTTTATTAAGTACCTTTAAATTACTATTATTATTGTTTTGAAACGATTGATAGCAATATCAGTGCTTAAGTCAAAAACACCAATCTAATTTTTTTTTTGCTCATCAATGAACTAATTTAACTAATTCAATAACTTAATAATTTTTAATATTTTTTTTTTTTGGACTTTTTCACATTTTTCTCGGCTTATATTGCTGTTTTCCATCCATTTTAGTTAATAAACCCATTCTAAAATTTTGATTAAAATGGCAACCTACATGTTTAATTTCGGTATTTTGTGTGAGAATCCGAAAATGATTGGGAGTAAAATAAGTGTAGGATTGGTTAAAAAAAATAATAAATGAAAATAACCATTTGAAAAACACCAGCTAAATATTCGTGTTCACCAATGTTCCAGATTTATCAGAAATCGAAAATTGCAAACCTAAACATTTAATAATTTCGTTTACACCTTCTAAGACTATTTGTAACTATAAATAATATATTTATTGTTTAAAATTATGTTATGGTATTTATAATTTTTTATGTAGCTGTGTATAAACTAAGTATCGTTAGAAATTTTAGATTCAATTACTACTTACCATTCGTGCCTATAAGGCTATAACAGAATTCGTTAAATGGGATTTTACTGGGTTTTAAAATGAACTTATTTAATACACAGATAAGTATTTATATATTTATTTATATCGACATTAGTGACAGATTTTAACAATGATAAAGTATCTCCCATTGATTTGCTCCGTGAAGTTATTTAGACGTTATCAAAGATATTAATGTTCAGCTGTCAGAATTTAAGACAAAGTAATGTCTTGTGATTCCATTATTGACCGATAAAATTCAGGTGACTAATTAACTGTGATATTTTCGCCTTCTTTCGATTTCTATTTTATACTTTTTCTTTGTGTACATATTGTTATGCATAGCTACCAACCGATAGAGGGTTTGGTAAACATGAAACGCGGTTGAAAATAAGAGCATGTCACGAAATACAATGTATAATTTTATGGAATAAAAATGCATACACACTTTTTTCGCCACAGGTAATATTACTGTTCACGCACTATGGCAAATTAATTTTTTATGCAGTAGGTAATAAATTAAAGTTACAAAGTTTTTGGGTAGCACATTAATTCTGTTTATAGAATAAAGGGAATAACACATAATTTATCGTATTTATTTTTATCCAAATGACCCTATCAAAGATTTATATATGATGATATCAATGGTTTTATGGTTTTATTAAAAAATACTATGAAAATGTATCCAATGACTGTATCATAATAAAATTGTATTATATAATTATATATAATCGAATATATTATACAATCATATTATTGGCGGATAAAATAGAAGAATATTAAGTTCCTTGTGTGCAATACTATATTTAGAGTTTTATTGTAAGAAAAATAATGATTTATGTTCAAAAAGTTTTCTATTTGTTTAGGTTATAGAAGTGGTTATAAATACTTTAACTTAACTGTGTTGATTTAAAGTTATAAAATAAATACATGATGGATTATCATGAATTACATATTTTTCCATTTTTCCTTAAGATTATCATCATTTCCGAAACAAAGAATTAACCTACTACCTACCTATTTGAAAATAATAATAGTTTTAAAAACTTTATTTTTATTGAAGATTATTCGAGTATTAATTGGTTAAGCACTTAACTCACATAATTTACATCAGCATATTTAGTGGTGTTGGGTAGCCTGTAGGGCTGTGTGCAGGTTTCCCGATAAATGAAAATAAAATTTGTAAGGCAATTACATTAGTAGGTACCTTAATTTATAAAATTCTGGGAAATAATTTGTTATATTACATTTTCAAAGAATATATAATATTGTAATATGTTAATTCTATTTATATTTAAAATTAGCATTTCGGTTTTAATTTTATGCAAGTAAATAGAGGATACATTTTAAGAATATGTGTATATAATATATATTATTATTTTTACTAAAATATAGTCAAATTATCAATTAACTTTTAAAAAGAAAATTTAAAATTAAAATTAACTAGATGGTATGTCATTTAACTGTTGTCATAAGATATCAAACTATAAACTTTTATACAAACCAATATTATTTTATCGTTTCAGGTTTTTGATTACGATTGGGGTCTTCAAGATGACTTTATGGGAGCAGCGCAGATCACTTTGACGGCCTTAGAATTGGGCAAGTGAGTTTAATATCACTTTATGTCGTTAGTATAAATTAGTGCTGGTAATGATTGATGCTCACAAATATGTATAACGCAATTTTATTCAAATGTCAACTCAAAAAGAGAGTGAAAAAAAATTAAAACAATATTTAATCAAAATATGACGAATGAGATATTTTTTTATATTGTAATATACCATATAAAAGTTAAAATAATTATTCATGTATTAAATTACTTTTTAAGTTAAGTGCAAGTTTTTGCAAATAGAATTCATTTTAATTAAAGCCTATTATTAATAGCTGAAAATCTGAAAATATTTATATTACAGATTAAATGTGTCCCATCAATACTTATTATTAACAGCATAAATTGTCATTTGTTTATTTTTTGTTTTTTGTTCTTAGACAGCACGACATATGTTTACAATTACGGGATACTCAAAATGCTGAATACCTTGGTGAGATTTATCTAGATGTAACTTTAACACCCCAATCCCGAGAAGAACGCGAACAGGTAATTATAATCGATATATAACCTAATAATAACCTAAATGAAACAATATAAAATGATGATTTTAACTATTTTTCTTTGTAAATGTGTGTAAGAAATAAGAATAATATGACTACTATTTAAAATGATGTGCAAAAAATTTGAATTTGTTATTTTTAATATTACCGCACTATTTCTTTAGAGTCTTCAAAAGACCGGCAAAGTAGCTGAAATAGGTAGAAAGTACAAATGTCAAGTTTGGAGTTCAGTAGTAACTATTGTTTTAATTAAAGTAAAAAACTGTACAATAGCTGAAGGTTTATGTGACCCATATGTTCGTTTCAGGTATGTTTAATTTTTGTAAGTGACAGGGATTTCATTATATTGTCAACCTTTAATTTGTACATAGATTGGGAGGAGAAAAATTCAAAAGCAAAGGTAGTAATCGAATTCCAACCCCTACTTGGCTGGAACAATTTGATTTACATTTGTTTGACGATCAGACTCAAGAACTAGAAATAAATGTGTGTGCGAAGGAACGTTCACGCGAAGAAATAGTAGCAAGGTATGATTTTTTATTTTATAAACCATTATAAAAAATAAATCGATAAACAAATCGAATTTGAAGGAATATGCACCTGAGGGTTTTTCAAATTATCAAGGAATTGTTCTGGTTTCATTATATCACTGTCTTAATTTAAGATAAGAACGAATTTAGTTGTTTTAGATGGTCTTGTCAGTTATGAAATTGGTATGTCAATTAAAAAAAGAAATTCGTCAGGAAACACGAGTAGATGTAGCGATTTTTTTTGAAACATATTTCCCCTCAGGTATTTTACCAGATTTTCCTTAACCCAAGATTTATCCTTCGTTTCATAATTCAAAACTTTAAAAGATTAATATTTTACGAGAGAGCAATAATAAACTTAATTTTGTCATTATTTAGTTGTGCACTTTTACCTACTGTTATTGTAATGTTTATGTACAAATTATAATGTATAACCTCTTGCATATGCTCCACAAAAGAGAGTTTGTCTGAAATACATGGTTAATCCATTAAATTTGAGAGTCTATAGGTTTTTGGGTTTTCTTATACAAAGCTTACGGTTATATAATTTGCGATTTACATGAGGTGAATACAATATTTAGATATTTTCAGAGAGCATGACATAATTATTTGCTTCATTTTAACTTGGCACTCAACTAGTTAACAATAATCTCGAATCCTGGTAATGTATAATAGTTCGATTATGGATGATGTGTGTACTAAGTAAACTTTGTAAGTCCCTACAGAATAAACATAGCAAAGTTCAAAAGGCTTCAAACAGATCCATTTAATAAACTGTAAAATGGATATCAATTTTATAAAATTATTATAACAGTTAAAAAGAATGAATTTATTGTAAAAAAAGAATGAATAATTACAATTAATGTAATGCTTTAAAAGAAAAATAACGATTTTATAATTATTGTAATTTATTTTAATTAATATAATACTAATGGAAAAGCATTATAATATTGTTTAAGATGGAATTAAATTTAATTTATGGGCACATTTCAGGATAATATTATAATAATATAAACGATATTTAAGAGCGGTTTATTTAAGCAAATACATTTTCTTTGAAAGGTAACTATAACTTTGTTACATGATTACTAACTAGAAGCCTTCTATGCATTTCGTGTTTATCGATCATATATTTATTATATACTAAATGTATATAACAGCCAACAGGCCATTCAAATGTTACTTGCGTACCAATAAATTACTTGACTTATAACTTCATATTCATCGACACTATATAATATACCTAAAGAAACTTAATAAAAAAATATGTTTGCTTCAAATTATAGAATTTTTAAATATACTCTTACATAAGAATCTTTAATTCCAAAAAAAAATTATCATTATTGTAAAAAGAAAAGTTATAACCATGTAGGTACTTGTAACAGGTATGCTTTCTTAATAAATATTTTAGTTCATTTGCAAATACTAACAGAAGCCATGGCTTAATAATATAACTTGTAAGTTATAACATGTAAACTAACAATCAAACTTAATTGATTATATTTTATTTTGGCTAACATGAAAACCACTGTTATACCTACATAATGGTTAGTTCACTAAACACATCTATCGAATTTTGAATAATCTATAAAACATTGTCCGTTTGATTAAATATTTACTCCCGTGAGCATAATAAATGGATAGCGATCGATAAACACACGGGTCTCTGAAATTACCATTGTAGTAGGTAGGTATTAAAATGAATCGAAAAATATACTATCAAACTAGGATTTTTGTAATATGTAGTATGGGAGTATGATATTGAGTAATTGAGTAAATCATTTTGTGGAGCCAAATGCACATAGCAAACCTACTTAATGAGGTTTTGAGACCGGAGATCTAGGTACTCGTCTCATGAAGTCTTTCTTCGATCATCTTGATATCATATTCTAGATATTTTTATCAGCCTATTACCTACTAATGTTACGACAAACCATCGTATTCGAAGCAAAAATGTTTCTTAACCTACCACGATAAACTGCAATCATTTCTTACAGGACGTTTCTAAAACCATGGACTGCTCATAAAAAATAATTAATGCTTGAATATCTAGAAATGCACATAAAAGTACAACTATGTATTAAATATTCTAATCTTAATATCCAAAGGTAAAAATTAAATGAAATTATTTTTAAAAAAGTGCTGATAGGTAGGACATGAGCCGGGTGGGTGTGTTATTATGTTAAATTTAAAAGCAATGATACATTATCGCACACAAAAAACTAATGTGGACTAAGCTCGTTAAAACCATGCATGCTAAATATCGTCATTTTTTAACACTTTTCCTTATTTTTCCTCACGCTTGAGAAACCCCACTGATAAAATCAAAAATGGGATCTAAAGTGCATCAAATTATACCAAGTATAGTGTACTTAAGACTCGAAGGGATGTTTTTTTATTATTAAAAAAATATGAACAAAAAGTAATATAAAACATATAAAACAAACAAAAAACATCATTGTATAACATCAATAAATTCTTCACTTCACGCAGTAAACAACGTGAAGATTTCTCAATAGTTCATCATATGTATTTATTCATTATTCTTTCGTTATTTATTTGGAAGTTTAAAAGTAGACTTGAAAATAAATTCTGTGAACCCTGCACTGGCTGCACTATCGTGTCATAATATTAAATAATGTCAGGTACACTCGCTTATAAACAATAGAGTAATGCAACCTATACATTATAGCAGGCATAGTATAGGAAATAAAACTGAAATATAATCCATGTCGAGGGACCTAATCGTATTTGAAAAAAGCAAAATCGACTGTTCCGACTGATTGTTGGAGTAGCTGCGGTACCTCCATATCATGCCAACTATAACGAGACGTGCCTATACACCAGCGGTTTCTGTTTATAGCGCCGTCATGGACCTGAGTAAATTGGAACGGGAAAAGACGCACAAAATCAAATACAAACTCAACGTCGGAGGTGGTGACGATTGCGGAAGTGGCGGCGGTGGAGATCATCACCAGAATCGCGACGCTTCCGGGATAGGTGGTGGGGGCGTACTGTACCTGTTGCTGACCATCAGTGGCACGTCGACGATCGCCATGGTGTCGGACTTGTCCAACTACGAACGCGAAATCACTGAACAGGAACACGTCCGGCAGAAGTACTCGGCCAGCAGGACGTTTTGCGACCTGCTCGACGTGGGTGTGCTCACTGTCCGCGTGTACAAGGCCCACGGGCTCACGTCCGCCGACCTTTGCGGCAAGTCCGATCCGTTTTGCGTGCTCGAGCTGGTCAACGCCCGGCTGCAGACGCACACGGAATACAAAACGCTGGCGCCCACGTGGGACAAGATATTCACTTTGTGAGTATATTATATTATACGATTAAGTACAATACCGATGATGATAACTTTCCTGTATTACCCACGGTCGTTGCCCACGGGAGTGAATAAAACCGAAATGTGCAATTTACCAGAAGTGCTAGACTCTGTAATAAAATAATGAGTAATTTTTTTCCCCTTACGCGCATACAAACAATTACAAGTTGCAGAAACAACGAATATGCGGTTATCAGAATTCCTGATGTCCTGATGAGAACAATCATAATATTTGATAAATTAGCTGTCGAGTTTCTCACAAGATATTATAATATGTATATCCTCGAGACCATATTTTGATCTGATGATTTGATGCATGCTTTACCTCATCTGCAGCCCGATTTTTTGATATTAATTTCTTCTAATTCTATTATTATCTATAACCAATGGCAACCATTTATAAACAAAAAAAAATGTCTTGAATTTCACAGTGAATCTCAAAATCCCAGGGTGAACACTGAGCACAACCTTAAAATGTGAATTTTAGTTGCTATAGGTAAAATATTAAGTTCACAGATGACAAATCAAATTGGAATCGGTGACCTCACTTGTGAACTAATACGACCGAAATGGTCAACCCACTTGTTGTGGTTTGGATATAGCACTTAGTATAATATTTTCAAACGTTTTTGAAATTACTATCTAAAATTTCTTTCTCTAAGCACAATTTGAAATTGGAAAAATCGGTTGACTAGTCACAACACATTAATTTTTATAAATTATATAGATTGTACAAAAATATCTTTTATTTCTTTAACCAATGTTAACTATATGATATATGTATATATTATTGTATTATATAAATAAAAGGCATTCGATTCTCGTTTGTCGAAACAACATCCCTGAGTAAGCCCATATTTAAAATGTACATTTTTAACAATCCTTTCTTATAGTGTACTCGTAAATTGTGGTACGAAAGTATAGTCGAAATTCCTAGTCTCTACACATTGTAGTTTAGACCAGTGTTTCCCAAAGGGTGCGTAGTGAAAATTAATTTTATTTTTATTTTGACACTGGTGTGAAAGGTTTGAATGTTAAAATATTGTTCGATATCGAAAGAAAAATAACATATAAATACAATTATATTACTACTAAATAGTATACAGATTATAGGTACCTAATAAGTACATATTTTTAGCAAATAGACAATGTTCAAGTATATCATGACTTATAAATTATAATAATAACTAATAATAATGTGCTGCGATAAAAAAAAAGTTTGAAAACCACTGCAGGTTTAGACTCTACATTAATCAGCCAGTCAGCCAGGCCACGTATAATTATATTATATAGATTAACCATAATACATCGTATACAGCATACCGAGAGACTCAGTGATTGTGCCTCCCCCTCTCACCCCGTGACTGTTTCACTTTATTAGCCTTTCAATTGTGAGAGATTTCTTTTTTTCTTCAGACCTTGTTCCGATATAGTATGGGAAATCTATCTAATATGTTGATAAGTAACAACAACTATACGACAGGCCTACAATATTATAATCCCCATCACATCTTCCGCGTAAAGTTTCTTTACGAATTATTATTCGTATTATTCTTAATAAAGATACTCTAAACATTAATAGGTATACGATTTTTGAATATTTTTATCATTACATTTGTTGTCAATTGGTTATACTTCCGACCAACAGGATGAAATAGTTATCTGCTCATTTAATTTTATATCTTCTTAATTATGTACCTAGCTTTTTGGGCATACGAGAAATATTCAGAATGGGTACTCAATAATGACACTCACGACATCTGTGGTATTTAAACCTGATCCACAGAGTCTACAAACTAAAATAAACTCATTCAATTAACAGAAAAGGTCCGTTTTAAATGTTTTAATGATCTATCTCCATTGGTCGCATTGTGAAAACAGCATAATAGTGGCGATATGGTGATTTTTTTTATATAATTTCTTCCCGAAGTAATGAAAGGTTGTTTTGACATTTAACATTTTTCCATGTGAATAGCTATCATATATTATGTTTTATTAAAATATAAATCAATGTTGCCCGATGACGTGTATAATAATAAATAAAAAGTTTTCAGTAAATATCAATTAATTAGGGTTGTGTATTAATTGTTGGGTTAAATTTGTCTGCATCGAAAAACTACAGAAAATTGGCTTTAATTGCGTAAATTAATCAAATACTAAACTTGATGTGCCTATAACACGATAATGTGTAACACCTTTACACGAGTAACCTACCATTGTTACAGTAATAACTATGTTATAAATTATTTTTCAGTTTCATGTAATAATTAATTATTGTTCAACGAATAATAAGTGTATTTTATTTATTATGCTTAAAATTTAAAAACTAATATCATGTTAATTTAAACATCTGTCCAAACCTAACCAGTAAATCATAGCTCATAACAACATAATCTATTTTAATGAAATTTATCTTCAAAGTCGGCAACATCTACCTAGTGCAAAGTGATTATTTTAAATAGAAAATTATCTGTTCTTATTCATATTCATAACTTTTATAATTGATTTATACTTCAAAAGCAAAACTGGAGTTGTGTAAGTAAATATATAAAAATAATAACAAACATTTATATTAACATTTAATTAACAGCATGATAAATTGTAGGTACTTAAACATAACTTGATCTTCCCAAATATATTATTTAATGCGTAGTATTCCCATTATGTACGTTTAATTAAAATACAAACAGTTAACAATGAATATTACGACTTGACTTGGTTTATGAAGGAAGAAGAAACAAACATTATTGCATACAAACTATAAATTATCATACGATATAATTTAAAAAATCTATATTTAGTTGATTCGTAAAAATGATATTGTAAAAGTTTTGGTACTCATGTGGTATATAAAATACCTACCAAAAAACTGTGTATAAGTATTCCACCTACTAATTAATAGCAATTTGCGAATCTAAAACTTACTCGATGTATCATCATTGTCGAGTATTTTAAAATGTTATAATATATTGTATATTATATGTACGTCGTGTTGTTTTTCATCCCAGATAAAGAAGGTTATAGTTGTGTTGGTGGATATTTACCCAGTTATCACAATAGGTAATATTGTGTACTACGTAATATTGAACAACCGTTAGTGTTTATATTGTGCACGGTAATGAATCAGATAACAAGAACATTCCCGTAATAAAATAAAATAAAAAATGTTAAACTTTTATAAGAAAATGACAGGTACCTATGTCATATTTGCCGACAGGTAACAATTTACCTCTAGGAAGCATACTTCGGCAAAGCAGTAGCAGTAGGTAGCATACAAAACGAGTATCAAACTTAGATTATATTTATATTTTTAAAAACATTTTTGATGTTATTTATCAACTCCTTCTCTATAGTATAATTGTGTCAAAAACGGTAAATATTTGCATACCTTTGTATTTTGAAAACTGTCTGAATAAAAAATTTGAAAACTTGACTAGATTTGAGCTTAAATAATTTTTATCACACCCCTTTCTTGAACTACTTAGTTCAATATATATAAATCAAAATAATTTTAGAAATAATAAAACCACAACTACCTAGTACCTATTGCAAATACAATGTCTGCCTTTGAGAACTGCTTTGATCATTTAAAAAAAACCTACATAGGTATACAAATCTGTAGTGGGAAGCAATTATTATTGTATTTCATATTAATGAACACAAAGATTCGACAATGATAACTAATAAAGAAATGATACTACGATTATTAAAACCCATTTTTGATTTATATATAAATATAAAGATAAGAACATCTATTTAGAATATAAGCCCCAAGTTCCCTTATATTTGAAATGTTATCATTAGCTCTGCTGTTCAAAAATTTCAATATTTATCAAATCAATTTATAAATCATGTAATAAGCAATTTATTTTATAAACTAACTGTTTTTCTATGAAATCAAAGTTGTTATTAATACGATTATTATTTTTATATTATTAATGAAAATGTTGTATAACTTTTGTTTCGAAGTAAATACGCATAACTACATATTTAAACTATAAATTAATATCAATCAACAACTAAATTTTTTTTCTATTTTAGTGTTGGTGCCCTACCCTATCACTTAAATTAGCTTTATTATTTATTTATTTACTTGTTTACTAACATTGTGAATGGAAAAAGTCTTTTTAAGCTAGTTATATAGTTGGTTAAATTTAGTAAGTTCTAAAAAATATATTTACCATATGCATGTATATTTTATATAATACTTATATAATATGTACACAATTAATTAAAAATGAATTTATGACTAAATAAAAATAAATAAATAGTAATGAATTTGATCTTTTTAGTTTACATCTTTAAATTAAATTAAATTAAATTACATTTTTTTACGTCAAGTTAAGAGTATGTTTTGAAAATTCATTAAATTTTGAATTTATATAGTTAAGAATAGAAATAATTTATGATTCCTTTTCATCCCAATACAGATTATAGATAGGTACCTTCAATGTAAAAACTATAAATTCAATATATTTAAAAATAATCAAAACTCTAACCAATTAATCTGTTTTGTCACTTGAACTCATATTTATTTTAAGTCTTCTTCTTCTTCTTCTAGTGGTTATTAGCCTAATAAGAACCATTCCATTTAGCACCCTATCCTCCATACTGCGTTTCTTTTCCTTTCCAATCCGATCCTCCGCCATATAATTCCACGTTTTTTTAATCAAATCTTCCAATCTTATTTTGTATCTTTTCAGTGGTATTTTTCCTTACGGGTTTTGTTCTGTCACTACTTTTATCAGTTTTTTCGGGCATTTCCACGCATGTTCCGCCCAATGTAGTCTTCGCTTACTTATTACATTCGTTATATTTGTACTCTGGGATAAAGTCTCAGCTCAGTACTTTTTCTCATTCTCCATTCTCTACTGTTACAATCGTTTAACTGGTCCGAAGATTTTCCTCAACATTTTCCTTTCCAACAATACAAATTATTTCGTCTAATTTCCTCAGTGACCATGTTTCCGCTCCGTACAGGATTACCGGGCAGATCAAAGTAATATACAATTGCTTCTTTAATTCCCTAGATAGTGATCGCTACCCCAATATATTTTCTGGTCCATAATAGCATTTATTACTGATGCCTGTATTCTGGTCTCTATATCTTTAGGTATTTCTTAATGTTCTATCAATATTGTTGTTCCAAAGTATTTAAATTGTATAGATAAGGAATTTTTAAGTCATAATACTCAAAATTACAAATTTAATAATTAAATCTAAGAATATCAATTTTGTTTAACATTAAAAAAGCATATTTGTTCATTTTAATTTTAAATGTTCAAAAAAAAAACAGTACTACACCAGATAATTGATATGTTTTGGAAAACTCACTGTACTCACCCAATAGACAATAGTATTGTAAATTTAATTTTTAAGATATTCAATGTCATTGTATTTAAACAATTATACCTATCAAAAAGAAAAGTTACTGCTAATAAGTTTCGATATCAATTAAATTTTACATTTATCAACCCCACCAAGTGGTTCTTCGGCTGGATGATCATCTACGATTTTTCTCCAAAAACTACTTTCCCATATGTTATACCCTATACGGTATATATACCAACTTAACCTATGATAAACTTTTAGTTGCTTAACAAAAATGATTTTTCTAATTAAATATGCATTTATGAGCTGAAATATCAATAAAAATAATAAATAAATAATACTTAACAACTAAAAATAAAAATGTATTAAGTTTTTAAAACACCTAAATGGATTATACATTGAAATTGAATTTCTGAGCGAACGAACAACAAAAAATTGCAATAATTTAGGACAATGTAAGATACCATTTTAAATCATTCAAATTAAAATTGTTTATTTCTCATACGTTTAGTTCAGATAACTGTAGAAGCCTTAATATGAATACTCATAATATTTAAATGTATCAAATATATCGAATATGTAGATATAGGTACACCTACAACTAAATAATTTAATAAGTAGATAATATCTATATTATATAGCATAGTGAATTTATAAACGGTTCAGGTTTACTGTGTCTACGATTCTATGTGTGCCTATGTCAGTTTAGTAGTTCCGTCACAAAATTGTTAGCTTGACCTAATATTTTGTCAATACACTTGATCAAACATCAATTGACGTAAGAAGGTCACAGTAGAATTAACAATAACCCTTCAAACAAAACAAAATAAATACAATATACCTATTAATCCATAGTACCGTTGGGCGTAGACTCAAGTACATTTAATACATAACAAATTATTCGAATAAATGTACATTAAAAATTTTTTTTTGTGTAAATAAATTAAAGTCATCAATTACTATGAGGATTTATTATGTCTACATTTTACAACTTATTATTGATACTGGGTAATAATAACTACTAAATTATCTTTAATAGGTACTTTAATACATACGTGGATAATTACGCTTTACATATAAATTCAAACTGTATCTATAGGATTTTATTTTTTTATAAAAGTTTTATAAAACCACGTATGCACAATGCGCATATATTTTAATATTTATAAAGCCAATATATTAGAATAATAACATCTACCCATAGTTCCCAAAGGCCACAATTTGGCAAACAAGATAGTAACTCAATTTTAAAAACTTTGTTTTAGTAATACATTTTGACATTTTGTGTTTTTATTTTTTTTTATGAAAAATCATTGAAGTAAAACATTATAAAAATGACTTTATTTGCTTCTCTGATAAACATGTGATATGGTCATTATTGTTCTACTCAGAAACAAATTATAAATTCTGAATACCAGAAATTATAGACTTATAACTTTGGACACGTCCTTATTCGCTGGGACGTCCACTTATATGGTTAAAGTTTTAGTTTTAAACTTTTAGGTTGATGTAAGCTATTAATACATGTATTATAATACCACAATACATTTTATAGTATATAAGAGTTATAACATACCATATTACATAAAAATTAAATTCAAAATAATGTTGAATAATTACATCGCCCTGATTGAATAGTTGATGTACAATATCCACAGGTAGTTATTAATTATTAGTTTGAATAAATTACCTTCCGGCCAATGACTGGAGCAGCCACGGGGTCTTGATGTTCAGTATAAAAAATTTTAAAAAAATACCTTCTCGGGTATTTATCGATCAATACAATTAAATATTTGTAAAGGACATTATCTTAAAACAGTTGAGTTATATTATAATTATTGGGTGTACAGTTTCAAGGTTGTAAAATTGATCAAACCACTGACAAAATGTGTTATGTTTGTGCAATTTTGTCATTTCTGAGTCAGTTCTAGCTATAAGCTCTCCATATGTCTTTATATACACTACACACACATATGCACTTATAATATTATAGTTTAGCTTACTCACCGTATGATTACGGAACTAAACTCAATCGTAATCAATATTAGTCAGGCGGGTGGCATGCCTTTAATCATCTCTAACGTCCTCGAGGATGTTTAACAAACACATCACAACCCACGGCTAAATGAGATTAAGTATATAGTTATGTACGTTATTCTACTGCTCGCACAAGCGACAAGTCTTACATAAAAGTTCACATTATATTAAGTAAAGTACCTTATTTGTTAAATATGTTTAAGAAACTGTTGTACTAGCAAAAATAAAGAATCGTTCAAAAAAGAATTCAAACCCAATAGAGTTGGAAATTCCAAAATAAATTTCCATAATATATAGCACGAAATTAAATTTAGCCCCGTTTTGAATTTTTATACTGTTCGTGGAATAAACATATTTTTTAGGAATCTTAGAATAATAAAATAATCCCTGAAATAATCTATAAATATTTTGTATAACGATAAAATTAAGGAATAACGTAGGAGTGCCAAAAATAGTATTTTACACGGAGTTTTTTTAAACAAATTTTTGGAACAAAGTAATTTTATAATACGTAAATAAAATATGAAAACCTTATTGTTTGGAACAGAGATAAAGAAATAAATAATTTTGTATTTTCAACGAAAACATATTTCAACCCCTCGATTCCATAGGGATAGTTTTCTCTCCGAGTTATATCATTTTGAGACACCAATAAATAAATCTATAATAACATTTTTTTAAATAAATATTCGGAACATTTCATAGTAAAAATATCGTAGTTCAACAACGGTAAATATTAAATGCTGAATAAATTTCAATTAAAAAAATGATTGAAATTTTTTTCTGAATAAATTATTGCTACTTATATAAAACTAGTTTTTCTAAAAGAAAATGTTATTAAATAATATATTTTGTAGATGAATTAAAAATGTATAAAAAAAACGTCTATAATTGACTGAGTAAAAAGGAAGAAGTATAAATCAAATAGTTTTAATTAGATTAAAGTAAACTAAAGTAATAATTAGTTTTATATAGTAATTTATTTATTTACTTTTTGAGTTGCATTAGACCATATAAATTATATTTGTTTGGTTAAATATGAAATCTATGTGCTTACAACTAAAAAGATCGTTCCCAATGCATAGGACGGTGTAAAATAATGAATAATTGTGTACACATACACCAATAATACATATGACTACTTATTCAAATGCCCCGTATAAACAAACATCGGTAGGTAGTCAGGTACTGCGATCACTCACTAAACTGTCAGACAGATTGCTTTTTTTTAATGTATAATTCATTGTCTATAGAAATAAATAACGTAGAAAAGTGCTATTTAACTCAAAAATGGAGATGAAAAATACGACATTTTTTTTTGTATTCAGTATGTAATCCAGTGAAACTTTCAAATAAATCACTCAATGACACTTAATAATGTGTATCGTTAACAAGGACTCACTTCTCTGCCCCAAGTATAAAAACAACGAATGTGTTATTTTTGCATTTCTAATAATGCTTAATAATATTTTAAAATATGACAGATTAATTATAAAAAGTTAAAATGATCCATGCTCAGAAAAATACGAATAAAAATCAACAAAAATAAAATATACCAAGAAAAAAATTAATATAAAATATAAATATATTGATTTATAAGACTGAAAAATTAATTACTTCTAGTTATTATTTTTCACAATCTAATAAATAGAAAATGTAATACACACTTTTATAGTCTTATTCATATTATATTTTTTCAATTCCCCCACCAGAAATTCAAATCAAACCTTAAGACTTTTGAGTACATCCTTGTCAATTAAAAAAAAAGTTTTGACTTGAGGGTTTTTTACTCTTTGTTTCAGCAACGTCAAAGATATCAACTCTGTTCTCGAAGTGACAGTTTTTGATGAAGATCCTGACTACAAAGTAGAGTTCCTAGGAAAAGTAGCCATACCTTTGCTTTCTATTAACAATGGTGTGCAAAAATGGTATTCTCTCAAGGATAAAAAGTTATCAGGCCGGGCTAAAGGAAACAACCCAAAAATCTTATTGGAAATGCGGCTCATCTGGAACCCGGTATCTTTGCTAAATTCGTGTAATTTCGTGCCTAATGTGGCTTTATTTAATTCTATTGTTGGTTAAGTTTAGATAAGAGCGTTTATCAGGACATTAAATCCAAAAGAGGAAAAATATATGCAACAAGACGTCAAGTTCAAAAGACAAACACTAATCAGAAATGTAATGAGGCTCAAACAGCTCGTCTTGTGGGCTATCGATATTGGAAAATACTTTGAGTAAATATTTAACCATAGTTTAGACCAAAATAATTAATTAGCCTATATATTATCAAAATCATCAATAAATAATATGTTATAACTTATAACTATTACATTAGGTTCTTAATATTAAGTACTAAAGTTTACAAACACATATCTCTCCTTATAAATTATTTAATATAATTTATATATAGATACAGAATAAATAAGTAAATGCACGAATAATGTATAGGTATGTTACCCGAAAAATAGACATCAGGTAATTTGAACTGTCTTCGGTATTATGCCAGTGCTTGATTTCACTGGCAAATTAGTTATACATTACATGAACCCTATAGAATAATTCTGTGTAGCTGGGTCCATGTAAGCAACAGCTAGTGTTATGATTTATTAATTACTTATTTATAATGCTTAGTTTAAGTCAAATATGTACTAAATACCTAATTAGTTTTTTTTAGTACAATTTTTAAGTTTTTCATATATTGTCCTTCCATTTTAATATATTTAAAATTCTTCATAATACGCGTTCTTATAATAATTCCTTGATTAAAATATATACGATAAAATTTTAAAAAGCCAGCTTAACGATTATTTTTCCACCAACATCTTTTATTGATAACCTTTTTCCTTATTGAATTTACTGTATCAACAAAAAACATTCTAATTACTAATTTTCTGAGAATATTTTTCATCTATAAATAAATAAATACAGTAAGTATATTAAGGATAGTTTCAGAAGATTGCTTTGGATTCGTTTTCGACACTCCAGTTTGTGAAGATAAAGTAATTTTCCGAGCATAATATAGTCACGAGTGCTATTCTTTTACCTTTTTTACGATTTTTTTTGGTGTATAACCTTTAAACCATTTATATCGGTCACTAGCAGGTAATTCTCTAAGGAACCCTTGCTGATCGATCCGCCTTAACAGTTATACATTGTTTTCTTTATAACTTTTACTTTTATATATTCCTTATTATTTAGTCTTATATGAATAAATATTCTGATAATAGTTCGTTCTTATTCTTATATATTCTATGCATTTGATATAACAAATAATAACAAATACTGTAAATTATTTAGATTTGAAAAAAGGAAAACACCCTTGTATAAGAAATATAATGATGTAGACCGATAATATTTCATAAAAATAAACACTCTACATTTCATTCTGAAGCATACCTACACCATTTTAATTACTTTACATTATTTCTTCTATAAAATAAGTGGTCCTACTTAATATTCATGTAATTTCAAACTTTACAACTGCGAATGAAGTCAACGGTAATCTGCAATGGTAGCGGTTTTTGTTAAAAGTTATAAAAGTTTTACCGCGTTGACCTACATTCGTATTTTTTTTTCTAAACTAATATATTTAATTCTTATTTATTACGAAACTGTAGATAACAATAGGAGGTCTGTATATATAATAATATATACATTGTATTAAGAACTTTAAAATGTCATACATTTTACTAAAACTATGTCGTAAAAAATCAAAGCAGATATAATAATTATTAAGTATGTCATTCGACTTATTTTTATCACCTTAGTGTGTGTTCTTGTACATTAACTACTGTTACCTGCCAAAACTACAATGAAAAATATACAAAATTGCATTTAACTACAACTTATCTCCAGGTACTGGGTGGAATGGGAGTCGCCGATTCACACCATACTAGTATTAATCGGGTTCGTGGTGGCTTGTCAGTTTTTCGAACCGTATATGGCACCTATTGCTTTATTACTGGTCTTCCTCAAATACTATGTAGCATATTCGTGGGGTGCGTCTAAATTAATCGACGAAGACGACGAACAACAGACCGACGAAGACGACCAAGACGACCAACAGGACGACCAAGATGACGAAAAAGCAAAGGTAACATCTACATATAATAATTGCAAAGAAAACTTTTATACACGATAATTAATATAGAAAATATTTACAGGAAGAAAAAAAATCTCTGAAAGAGCGAGTAGCCGCTGTGCAAGAAGTCACGCAATTAGTTCAGAACACAATTGGAGACATAGCTTCGTTTGGTGAAAAAATTAAAAAGTAATGATATTTTGCACTTGTCAATCGACGAAATTAGCTAAAATACATTATTTTTTGTAGCCTTTTAAACTTTTCCGTACCGTTCTTATCGTACTTGGCCATCGTGTTGCTGATTGCAGTTACAACAGTATTGTATTATATTCCAATAAGATATCTGATTATGGGTTGGGGCATCAATAAGTTTACCAGGAAAATTCTCCGGCCACACACAATTCCAAACAATGAACTTCTGGATTTGCTTTCTAGAGTACCCGACAACGAGGAGAAGGTAATGATAAGAATGCTTTTAACAGCTGGTAAAATATTCCTAACTATTCTATAAACAATAGTTCCAATAACTATGGTAAATACCAAGTAAAATATTTTAAATTTCCAAATGAAAATTCTTCTGCCTAAACTACACTTTCTAGAAGGTCTTTGAATGTTTACAATTCAAAAAATATAATAAACGACTTGTTTAATATACAATTATACTAATGAAATAGGTAATAGTTGTAGTTTTAAAATGTACAAAAGCTAAAAAAAAATTTTTTAAGTAAAATTGCAGTTTTGTTTTAAAGTATTTCAAAAACAGAATATTTAAAACCATAATAATATTACAGAATATTTGTATGATTAAAAATATAAAAATAATAAACCAAATATGGGTGTCCTAAATTAAACGATCATGTGAATTATATAATATTAATTTTAATTCCGTCAAATAATGAATTAATAATAAAATATAAATATTTTACACAGCGAAAATTCAAGGAAGTTAAATATAATCCAGAAGAAAATATAAAATGGTTTCGAATGTCGTAGGTAATTTTTTTTTGATAATGAATGATGAGGTATGTACGTTGGAATAATATTGTGTTCAAATATAATTGTATATTTATTTTTAGCAATTATGTTATTAAAATGATGTCTAACTATCTAAAGTATTTTAGAGTTAAATTTAACAATTTCTATAACTTTTTAACAATTTTAAAAATGAAAAAAAACCCTGACAGGTATAATATATTATACTTATTGACTATTGTACAATAAATTTCAACACCAAATCAAATATAGGAAAAAAACTGCAGTTACCTCTTACCCATTGTTAATTATTTTTGAATTTATCACAGTTTCCTTATTTTATCAAAAAAAAAAAAAAACAATGGATATCTTGACTTGAAAATAAATTACAAAATATTTTTCGTTTTTTCTGATAGTAAACGCATCATTGAAAAAAAAAATATTTTTAAAAAAGTATGTTATTTATGAATATCAATATAAGTAATAAACACAATATTTTATTTAGATTTATTACAAAGAACTAGCAACTATCGATAGTGTGGACGGAGGTGATAAATCAAATAAAGATTCAAGAAGAAAACAGAAGCTGTGATTATTTTTTACAATTTTGCAAGGTATTAATTTTGGTTGTTCTTAGTCATTAAATATATGGTACACATTATTGCTATTTTATTATCATTATTATTATTGCCTATTGATAATATGAAAACTTTTTGATCTAATTTCATCAATTTAAACTTAATTCCTTTTTTAAAAAATAACTGTGTGATATTTAGATTTGTTATTTTTACTTAAAAAATGGGCTTATATTTTAAACATTTTTAATAAGTTTTCCTTACTTCATTTTAATCAATATTTTAAAATGATTCTGTATTGTATAAAGTTGAAACTGTTTTTAAACTTACTTATTGTCTATTGATTTGGTCCTACACTACCAACATTATTATATACAATTTAATAACTGTTTTAATCTCATATTGTTTAATTATTATTTATTATTACTTATTTCTAAATTTTATTCAATACTGTTCAACGTATTTATTGTTATTGAGTGATTTTTAAATTATTTATAATGTATAAATATATAATATATTTGAATAAAATATTTTGATCTACAATACACGAACACGTGTGTTTATGTACAACTTTTTATAAATATTATTTTATTATTATAGTTTGATTAAAATAAAATGTAGGAATTATTGTACCTATTATTGATAAAACAATAACACCTATACTTTTAAAAAAATAATGCGATTCCATTTAGTTATAAATATATTAGGTATAGTTTATTATAATATTGATTAATAATTATAATAAATTAAAGACGTACGTATTAATATTATCATAATCAAGCACGTACGCATGTATGTACTAAAATTGCCTATACAAGACGCCGTTCGTGGGTTAGAAAACAATAACGGTAACGCATAAATTGATTGATCGCACATTTTTATATTTTCGATAGAAAAACTAATGTAGTCTTTACATCATATTAATATGATCACGTATTATGAAATTCTACGGGATTTTCAAAGTCCAGCGATATCATGTCACGGTCTATAATTGGTTTTCTCTTCCCTGCAATAAATAATAAAAATAATATCATATTATGTTCACCGATTCATTTTAAAATAAAATATAAAGACGACAGTGTTTGATTAAGGCATACAAGTTTGAAAAATATGTGTCTATGATAGGTAATAAACGGACGTTACCTCTATTTAAGAAATATTGTATAATATGTTCCATTGTATAATCGCTATCCTGCACAGGCAAACTTCTTTTTATACGATTATTTGAACTGAAATTATTATGTGACGTTACTTCTTCTACCGATAATGGCATGTTATCCAGTCCAAAATCCTATTAAAAAATTCATACACGTAATTGTAATAATAAATGAAACACCGTTAAGTATTAAGATAAATTATAATTTATAAAATAGTTTTTTATAGTTCAATAATAGCAAATAAACTACAAATGATAGCTTAGTCTTCAATTGGGATAAAAAGAAAGAAAATCAATTAAAAAAAAAAAATACTTTCCCAATTATAACATTTTGTATGTTTCACAAAATTATCTTTATAGAACTATTGAGCTATCTGACAACAACTAATAATTAAAAATTTGTGTTTGGATGAATTTACTGTTAAAGTTTAAAACATTATATTTATTTTATTTTAAAAATAAACACATTGAAAATAGAAATATAAAATGTTTGTGTAACTTCTTAAATAATATGTGTACCTTTAATTCATTATTATATTGCATGTACCTCGATGACACAATAAGAAAATAAATTAAAATTAAATTTTTTTATTAACATTTCTGTTTTTAAATTGTATTACATCTAAGTATTTAAAATAATTAAAGATTACCTACTATTTATTTTTATATCATATAACGTCTGATTAAATGGATTTAATTTATATTATCTGTTAAAATATAATTTATCGATAAGAAATGGATAAGAAATTATGTACAGTATATAGGCTTGTCATGTGTTCTTAAAGTAATCTGTTGTTTTACGTTAACTACTGTTCCGCGTATCACGAGAGTGTATACTGTATTTATATTTTTCAATATCATTGCTTATTTTGTTTGCTGTATTTTAAAGAGCTACAACTCTCGAACTCTAGTAACGAATATATCAACAACAGTTATTAAACAACTGTTTAGACTGTATATAGTATATATATCTATCTTATATAATATGCTAATAATTCAAATCAAAACATGATTTTTTACAATCCAGGAGGCAAGAATATTGTAGGATTTTAATTTAAAGTACATGGAATGAGATTGATCTATATAAATTACAAATAATGTTATCAATAAAATATAATTCTAAATTTTACTTATTTCACTGTATTCGATATCATAATTATGGTCTTTATGAGTACTCACTAAGCATTTTCCACTCAAACAAAATGCCCGTCGATCCGGATCTCCTCGAGCGCAATCAGTACCAAATGGAAACCATCCGACTTCTCCGTTAACAATATAAAACCTATGCTGCACCGTTTGATCTTGACATGCAAGTCTACATGGTCTATCCATATCCTCTATTATTTATTAAGATTAAGATTAAATACAAAATTAATTATTTATCGAAAAATTGGTTTTCAAATAACGCTTTCTTACCTGGCACTGATGACAGCTGCATTCCTAAACCAGAAAGTCTCTGCACTTTTTGACCATATTTAGTACAAATCGAAGTTGCATAATCGACTACAGATTTCAAACCCATTTTGCATTGCTATTATGATGAAGAATAATATTATATTATATGTTTGAATAATTATCACAATATTCTAGTACAGATACAAGTTTTCATTGTTCGCTCGGTAACCAAAATCAATTATAGTTTCTGATACCCACATTTAATTTTGCATTTAATTTAAATCATTTTACTTAGGTTTCATTCGATAATCATCTTCAAAATAATGTGCGACAAAAATGAAGGGAATTACGTGTGAAGTCATTACACTTTTTCATCAATTTTGTGAATGAGTTATTCATTACCGACTATCATTGATTTCAATAATTAAATAAGAGATAGGTACTAATTATGTGACAAATCAAAGACAAATCAACTAAAACTCTTTTGCCTGCCTTTTTTTTTAACGTTTAGTAAAAATATTGTATTTTATTTTAATACTTGTAAAAACTATTCGATTATTGAGATCCACATCATATAGTATTGAATTAGACATAATGTATTGATGTATAGGTAAACATATTTTTAGGTAATCTATATTAGCACGAGTTTTTTTTTGTACACCTTAAATAGTTGTATAAAAATTCAAGGTAAACGAGCTTAGAGCTTATATCCAAAATGTATACTTGCTTCTTTTTGTGGACGGCAAATCTTTATGCTCATGACTGGCTCACACGTCTTGCAAGTTTTACCTTCAACCAATTTAAGGCCGACGCCCGGGACCATACAACTATAGTGGCACACAGATACTGGCTGCCATTTCCATCCGACGACACTGGATTCCGCTGGCAAAAGCGGCAACGGCTGAGAAGGCGACCTCAGCTGATTTGTTGACTGTTCGTTTATCTCGCAGCTTTTTGCCTGCTCAATGTATAGTGTGTCCGGCGAAGATGATTTATCGCAAACGAATTCCTTTGGACAAAAAAATTATAAACAAATTCATCGTAGTTTACAGTAATATGATTACGTACAATAATATAATGTGATATACTGAAATATAATATTTAACTAGCAATATGCAATTATAATTTGGGCTAATAACGATTGCATTTCAATGACAATTATTATTGTCTATTTGTTGTATTTAATAAGTGAATCGTTGAATATTACATACTAAATTAATAAGATCGGAATCACGATTGATTATAATACTAAGCACTTCTGAGTACTGAAGGTGTATATTTCATGTAGCATATTTTAATATTGTAATATAACAGCCGGCATTTATATAGTACTCGCAAGTATAATAATTTATTATACTTCAGACAATCGAATTATCATAATATTCAAAGCCCTTGTATTAATAATGTTATTTATATTTAGACGATGTACAACGATAAGGCTTCGACACATCGTCATGTCTAAATAACAACATCGTTTATGATAAGAAATGGGAAATTTTCATTCAATTTTAGTAAATGTGCATTACATTTTTTTTGAAATTTTTGAAATTTGAAGTTTTTTTTCAGTTTTGATCTAATACTTTGGAGGGCTGGATTTGGCCTCCAAGCAGTAGTTGGTCACCAGTGATATAACATATGAGTATTCGAAGTATAGACTTTATTTTTCGATACTATTTATAATAATTTTAGTTACTCGTAACTTTTACAGTGAATGATAATGATAGTTATTAATTAATAGTTATTGTGTCAATACGTAGGTATATGAGTAGTTAATTATTGTATCGATAATGTACCTTACAATAACCACCGATGCAATAAGTGGATTCCTTATCCTTATGTATTTGGCAGGTTGTACCATCAGGAAAAGACCAACCCCGACTTTTTGTACCGCCTTTTTCTGTTTGACACCAAACAGTACACGCGTCTTTGGCTAAAGAATATAATATATAATAAATATTACTATATAAATGTAATAACACGTAGACGTATAAGACGATGTAGTAAATTTAGTAGAAGTAGTATTTTTGCAGTAAATTTGCACATACGATCCGAACTAATTTTTTGATAACCAGTTCCCAAAAGTTCCAAGTCGTATTCTTTAGCCCTTAAACATATCTCGTTCGCGAAGTCTTTAAGTGTAAGCTGAGGTGCATTTGTACACTAAAAACGTGTGTAGTTTATTAAATTCTGATCAATTATTATGAAAGCTTTATTTTCAAAATCACTTACTTGTTCTGTTGAACATGATTTGTACTTCTGATCTCCACCTGAACAAGTTTTGCCACTATTTTCTGGCCTAGAAGTTAATAAAATAATATATACTACAGGTATAATTTAAAAAATTAATTTAACAATAGTATAGAATAATAAAATAATATATGTTGTATATTATCTTAATTTCTAAACAAAATATTTACATTTTACATACGAGTATAATTTAATTTAATGTAAACTGTATGTTTTATCTCAGGATTAAGATTTTTTTTGTTTCAACTTATCATTAATTATACTAATTAAAGCTACACACAAATAAATATTTAGGTACACAAGTACGTGAATTGTTTACACGAATGTATTATTAAATGCTAGGAATTGAAATACGAACAACAACAAATTGAAATAATTATCAAAAGCTTAACTACACTTCTTTGTTCCTTTTACTTGGAATTTCTTGGTTCACATTATTGTTTCAGACATATAGTAATGATCATAACCCTGGATTCCTGAGTGAGAAAACATTTGGGCAGCTTTCCTTTACACAGTTATTATTTTTGGCACATGTTCGCAATAATTTATACAGCGTTGACATTAATGTCGCAGTATA